CAGGGTATTAATTGTAATGGGTTTGACTCCAATAAGTGAAAAAGTATAAAGCGCATAATTATGGATTGCTGTTGCTGTTGTGGTGGCAGAAAACATTCCCAAAATTATTTTGAGGAATCCTGCTTGATGCCTGGCCGGTTAGTAGTCCGCTTTCGTTAGTAGTAATATAAATCCGGCTATCTTGTTCCGGTACTTTTTATACTTTTTTTTTTATCGAATTAATAGTTTATATGCACTCATAAGTCAGATATTGGACTTTCCATTAGGAATTATATTCACTTAAGTAATAAGTCTAATATTGGGCTATTTTTGTAAGCGTTCTAAAAAACTAACTTCTGTAAAGCTAAACGTCTGCTGGGTGTAAGAAATTTGACTCTGCCTGAACTTAGATATTCCAAGCAAGTTAGTACTTTGCTTAATAAGTTTCGCGGTTAATCGACAGTTAAATAGCCAAGAAAACAGATAAACTCACAAACATTTGTGTATTAGCCATAGTACCTAAATAATTTATTCACTTCGGCTGCGCTCCGTGGTAAATCGTACAGAATATTGTGCACTTAACTGCACGTTTTATATGTTTATGTGGTGGTAAATTAATTAGCACGTAGTCCAGTGATAAATGAGCTTTCACGATTAGTTCTGATTCAATATTGAAAGTAGGACGCTCAAGCAATCTAGATACATTCACAAAACATCTATTTGTAATGGATTTTCAAAATTTCAGAAAAATTCAAATTAAAAACAAAAAATGGAATCTTAGTTTTGCTCAGGATGTACCATTTGAGGTTAAAACTTCGTACCTACATATTATTACCCCAGATGTGTACTTCAATTCATACAACCAAACAAATCAACCGATACTGCAATGCAAAGTAATTAAGTAACCGGCAAGCCAAACGAATTTTGCTGCAATGCTATCGTTTGTCTATTTGTCCGCCCATTCGTATTCATTATCGTGCTGAGCCATTAGCCTTCTGCCTTTACAACATCGGACTGTGCTTTGTTGTCTTCGTTACGCAATTCTTCCGCCTCTTCTTTTCTCGTAAACTATGGTCTAGCGACCCACGGCTAAATTTATTACTGCCTCAGTGGAATTTAATTACCATAAAACCACGCAAAATTTCTGAACTAGTTGCTGAATATCCGAGTGCTGGAACATTAGTGGGATTTCCGTTGTGGTTGAAACGCGCAATGAAGCTGCCAGCGTAAATGAACTCTACTTCGAAATAAGTCTACGTTTAAAAAAAAACCACTCTGAATATGAAAAATCATTCTTCCAGCCACAAAATTCACTAGCGCATCCGAGAATTTAGCTTTTTAATTCGAAAAAAAATGGCAACCTTCAACTGATTTCATCTGGTGGCGCTGAAAGCAAAATTCATATTTTTTCATATAAAAATTGAAATATTTAAGCATGTGGGTATTTAGTATGTACATGTGTTTATAAGTACAATAATAGGTTGTCAAAAAAGTCTTGCGGTATTTTTTTATTTAATTTTCAATTGTTCATAAATTTTTTTTTGATGACTCATGCCCAGCTCTTGACCGCTGCTACGGCCACTACTATGCCGTCTCTTTCGACCAATTCAGCGATTTTATCGCCATTTTCGACGACAGGCCTTCCGGAACGTGGCGCATCTTCGACCACCTCTACACCAAAACGAAAACGTTGAAACCATCGTTGTGCGGTGGAAATGGGAACTGTATCGGGTCCATAAACTGCACACATTTTATTGGTGGCTTGCATGCATTTTTGCCGTTATCGTAGTAGTACTGTAAAATATGCCGTATTTTCTCTTTATTTTGCTCCATGTTTGCGACGCTATAACTCACGAACGACTTAAAAGAAACGACAATCAATCAAACACGTGTTAACGCGTGAAATGAGCTTTCCAAAAAGGTATAGCATGGCCCGATGCGGCAAATAAAACTAGAACTACGCGCTATCAGCGCCAACTAACGAAAATACTTGGCAATGCGGGACAAATGTCCAAGAGATGATCCACTGTTTCCCTGGTGCCTTGCTCTAGACATTTCATGCAGTCTTCCCGATCTATTATCCCCATTCTGTGGGCGTGCATTAATTATGTAAAATAGTGTTCAATATTTAGGGGTATTCTAGTCTAGAGATGTAAAAAAATTTAAAATTCATTTATTTCACATTTCGATAGTTAAATTATTCAAATCTCCTTAAATGGATTTTTAAAAAGTAAAATTATTTTCAAAGCTCTAGTCGTGTTAGTGTTATGCAACATATCGCCGGATAATTCTTACAACTTTAAACGCGTTTTTCTCGAGTCTGTTTTTTAGATGCGGCTATATGTCCCTCAAAAACAAAACATTTTTAGAACAAAAAATTTCGAATACCCCAATACTTCTAATAATCAGCAATAAAAAAATTCAAGAAGATTGATTCTAAGAAACATGGACGTAATTTTAAACCATAGCGAATGCATCGCTAATGAGAAGGATTTTTCTTTATTTTATCCGCCCTGAAAAAAATCCAATTTGTCAAATAATTTTTACTCAGCTTATAGCTAGACTTGTTTCTTATACCTATTTTATGTACCTATGTACTGGGGTACAGAAACTTGGATCTATCCTCCGTTTCGGACACCACGAAATTTTTTTTATTATGATTTGAAAGAACATTCTTTGGCATTTATTTTTTGAAGAGATTTTCTAATGTTACGGATGGTCCATCCGTTGATTGCACTTTTCGATGACTCGTCCGAACATTTCGATTAGTAACTGGCGAATGACACGCGTAATGTTTTGCTCCAAGGCCTGAAATGAAGCGCAATTGTCCGCATAGATTTTAGACTTTACATATCCCCCCAGAGAAACGTCTAACGGTGTAAGATCAAACGATATTAGTGGCCAATCAAACCACCCAAAACGTGAAATTATCTGCTCACCGAAGGGTTTTCTCAATATATCCATCGAGATTATGAGCTTTAATTTTAGGCATCAAATAGGCAACTACACCAAACCATTGTTTTTCTACATGAAATGTCAGCTCGTGAATCTCTTCATGTGGCTCTGCGTACCAAATTCTATTTTATTTCTATTAATGATTGCGATTTTATGCTCGGACTTTTTTTTAGCAAATATTAATTTCCTACAAGTTTGTCGTGTATATTTTTTCTATAGCTCTTGCCATTTACGAGATATATATAAAAAAAAAAATGCGAATTTCGTGGAAAAGTCAGGTCATTCAGCCCCGTGCTACCTCGCCGGTGTGAGTTACGACTTTGTTGCACCAGACACTTTTGAAGAGTGCTCAATTCTGAAAAATATGCGTTTAAAGTCAAAGCGATATCATAAAATTCCTCTGATCTATGGGAATTTAAAGATAAAATATCACGATTGTAGTGTATTTTCTATGGAAAATTTTTACATGCCTTGGTTCAGTTCTTAATGTTAATATTAAGGTTTCAAATTTTCAGGGCATTTTTTTTTTGGGGTATTTCTAAGGAAATTTCGTGACGGATTGAAAAAAAAATTTATAATTAAAAAAAAAAACACCCTAGTATGTATGCATATGCATTTTTTCCTCATGATTATATGGCGCAATAAGTTCTTAACTCATGATCACAATACTAAAATTCTCGCAAATATGAACATGCTATCTAAAAAAATCCATATTTATTAATTAACATTACCAAGACTGATTTTGACGGAAAATATTTCTTTCGACTTAATGATGCTGAGTGAGCTCACACCTCACTTTTATATCGGGGGATGCGAAGATCTTTTTCAGAAGTACTAGATTTTGATATACTCATTTAATTAATGACCAGTCAAGATTAATTAATAGATTTCCAATTAAGATAACTTGCATTTGAAAATATAATTGCAATATAGATTACCGTAATTTCAGTAAAGTAATGTAATTAATTTAAAAATTTAACCAAAAATTGAACAACATTTACTTTTGTACTGAGTATTACTATGCCACGATGTTTATTACACCCAACAGGAAAGGTCAGAAACCTTTACACATATGAATGTCAGTCTGTTCGTACGTCTGTCTGTATATGTATGAGTTAGACCCTCAGTTTTTGAACTTTTACACCCATCTTCTTCTCACCAAAAAGCTGCTCATTTGTGGGGTCGGCTGATATCGGACCACTATAGCATATAGCTGCACTGTAAACTGAACGATCGGAATTAAGTGCTTGTATGAAATAATTTTTCATTTGAAGAGAGAAGTTTTGCACAGGTTGTTGCCTAAGACAATGGTACAATCTCTGACGAAATTGTTCAGATGAAGTCACTGTAGCATATAGATGTCTTACAATCCCACTGATGCCATTTTATTTTTTGTTCAACCCCGCTTTTAATTAGGCCTGCCCTGATGGTAGTATGCTGACGATTAAATTTCTGTATTACCGACAAATGGCGCTAAAATTTTTAAAGGAAATGTGGAATTTTAATCGCTCATTAAATTTTTCCTTTTGCAACTATTGTGCGCTTAAAATCCGATATTAATTTAGAACTGATAAATATACACTAGAAGAATATACATATATGATATATGAGATTAAAACCATCGAGGTATTAATGATTGAGAACTCACTAACTCTAGCTCAATTCTATATTTCGGGTAGCAATGCTGTTTTAATTGAGTAATTGACTTGGCCGGAAACGAAACGAAGAAACGCTAACTTTATTTATTTTAATTTTTTTTTTTTGAAAATTGGGAATAACGACGTATAATACATTTGGAGAAGTAAATGTATATAATAATATAATATAAATATCTATTCAACAAATTCAGTCATTAAATTGCGATAAATCGTTTATATGTCTTGTACCTAAAGTATTAAATAAATGTTTATACTTTTATGTAAATTAGTAGTTAATGTTAAATATTATATTATAGAGTAAATGTACGTAAAACAAGATATAGATTTCGAAAATACTTATTAACATTAACTAATATTTTTCTAAAATGTTTCTCTTTTCTTCCACATATTTAATAAAAACTATTACAGCCATATTGAGTACACTCTGCAAAGAGTTCTTACAAGCGAATGTCTCTGCCATACTATATATGATGAATAATGAACAATTCGGTCATAGCACTGCCTCTGCTCAATATTTTCTACAACTGGCCGGCTATCTTGGCATACCGGTAATCTCATGGAATGCCGACAACTCGGGCCTGGAGAGACGCGCCTCTCAATCGACACTTCAACTTCAGTTAGCTCCAAGTATAGAACATCAAAGTGCTGCTATGTTGAGCATTCTAGAGCGTTACAAATGGCATCAATTTTCGGTTGTCACCTCTCAGATAGCTGGACACGATGATTTTGTACAGGCTGTAAGGGAGCGTGTCGCCGAAATGCAAGACCATTTCAAATTCACGATACTCAATTCGATTGTGGTAACGCGCACCAGCGACTTGATGGAATTAGTGAATAGCGAGGCTAGAGTGATGCTCCTCTATGCCACACAAAGCGAAGCGGTTACTATTCTTAGAGCTGCTGAAGAAATGAAGTTAACTGGCGAAAATTATGTGTGGGTCGTCAGTCAATCGGTTATCGAGAAGAAGGATGCACAAACACAATTTCCCATTGGTATGTTGGGTGTACACTTCGACACAAGTAGTGCGGCGCTGATGAACGAAATATCCAATGCGATTAAAATTTATGCGTTCGGCGTTGAAGCATACCTCACAGATCCGGCTAATCGGGGGCGACGTCTCACAACACAATCACTTTCATGTGAGGATGAGGGACGTGGACGTTGGGATAACGGTGAAATGTAAGAGAACAGCTTTGACAAAACTCTTTTCATGCTTTATTAATAGTTTTATTTTATATCGAATAGCTTCTTCCGTTATTTGCGCAACGTATCCATAGAGGGTGATCTGAATAAACCCAATATAGAATTCACTGCCGATGGCGATCTCAAATCTGCTGAATTGAAAATCATGAATTTACGTCCTGGAGCAAACAATAAGAATCTCGTTTGGGAAGAGGTAAGTGCTATAACTATTCGCTTCATTTACTTGCACCACAAAAGTTTCCACTCTTTTTTATTTTTTTGGTTTTGTGTTCAACTTTATTACGTTTACTTATGTGGCCATTCGATATAGTTTATCTTTCGTTAATTATATACCATTTTATTTGCTAAAAAAACTCTTAACTGATTTTTCCTATTTTCACATTTCCACCATTACTATCTCTCTCTGTATTCCTATGCACTTCTTTGCTCTTACTATTGCTTTCCACTTTCCTAATCTCCACTAATTAGATTGGCGTGTGGAAGTCATGGGAGACGCAAAAGCTTGATATACGTGACATTGCCTGGCCGGGTAACTCGCATGCTCCACCACAGGGTGTACCCGAAAAATTCCATTTAAAGATAACATTCCTCGAAGAGGCACCCTATATCAATCTCTCGCCCGCCGACCCAATCAGTGGCAAATGTCTAATGGATCGCGGCGTCCTTTGTCGGGTCGCGGCCGATCACGAGATGGCCGCTGACATCGATGTCGGGCAAGCGCATCGCAATGAATCGTTCTATCAGTGTTGTAGTGGCTTTTGCATCGATCTACTGGAAAAATTTGCCGAAGAATTGGGTTTCACATACGAATTGGTGCGGGTCGAAGATGGTAAATGGGGTACACTTGAGAATGGTAAATGGAATGGGCTGATTGCGGATTTGGTAAATCGTAAAACCGACATGGTATTGACATCGCTGATGATCAATACCGAACGCGAAGCTGTGGTGGACTTCAGTGAGCCATTCATGGAAACTGGTATTGCGATAGTAGTGGCTAAGCGTACGGGTATTATATCACCAACAGCTTTTCTAGAACCATTCGATACCGCCTCTTGGATGCTGGTAAGTTCGCAGTGCACTGAGAGTTATCTTATATTTTTGACACGAAAACATTTTCTCTAAAAACTTAAAATAGGTCGGCATTGTGGCGATACATGCTGCCACATTTATGATCTTCCTTTTCGAATGGCTTTCGCCAAGCGGTTACAATATGAAACTCTATCTACAAAATGCTAGTGTAACGCCATACCGTTTCTCACTTTGCCGCACCTATTGGCTAGTGTGGGCGGTACTCTTTCAGGCTGCTGTACATGTGGACTCACCGCGCGGTTTCACCTCACGATTCATGACGAACGTGTGGGCTCTATTCGCTGTGGTCTTCTTGGCCATCTACACTGCTAACTTGGCTGCCTTCATGATAACGCGGTAGGTGTTGCTCATACCAAACAAAAATTCTATACGTTGTTGTTTGTTTTGTTTCTTTGTATATATTTTCTAATTTATTTTTGTTTTCGGTTTATTTTTAACAGAGAGGAATTTCATGAATTCAGCGGTCTGAACGACAGCCGTTTGGTACATCCCTACTCGCACAAACCCTCATTTAAGTTCGGTACAATACCGTACAGTCATACCGACTCGACTATACACAAATATTTTAAGGATATGCATCACTACATGAGACAGTACGTAAATAGTGTCATAGAAATTCAATAATATATTAAAGTCCATCTTTATTTTCAAATAACACCATTTTATTTTTTCTTTTATAATTTCATAGATACAACAAAACTAGCGTCGCTGAAGGCGTAGCCGCCGTACTCAATGGCAATCTCGACTCGTTCATCTATGATGGCACTGTGCTCGATTATTTGGTGGCACAAGATGAGGACTGCCGTTTAATGACCGTCGGCAGCTGGTATGCCATGACAGGTTAGTAAACACCAGCAATATATTTTAGAAATGTCCAACAAAATATAAAAAAAAGGAAAATCACACCTAAAAATATATTTTCATACACATTCTTTCCAATACTTTTAGGCTATGGTCTCGCCTTTAGTCGCAATTCAAAATACGTCCAAATGTTCAACAAACGTCTATTAGAATTTCGCGCCAATGGCGATTTGGAGCGTCTACGTCGTTACTGGATGACGGGCACATGTCGTCCGGGCAAGCAAGAGCATAAATCCTCCGATCCACTTGCGCTAGAACAGTTCTTATCCGCTTTCCTACTACTTATGGCTGGTATTCTATTTGCCGCATTACTATTGCTGCTCGAACACATCTATTTCAAGTATGTACGAAAACGTTTAGCCAAAAAAGATGGCTGTCATTGTTGTGCACTGTTGTCACTGTCAATGGGCAAAGCGTTGACATTTCGCGGTGCAGTTTTTGAGGCAACAGAAATACTGAAAAAGCATCGCTGCAATGATCCCATTTGTGATACACATCTGTGGAAAGTGAAGCATGAATTGGATATGTCACGTTTGCGTGTACGACAATTGGAGAAAGCGTTGGATCAGCATGGCATTAAGCCGCCGCAATTGAGGTGAGTAAAAGCCATACATGATTTATTAATATGTCCATAAATGCATTGAAATACATATTTGGCCTTATTCATTTGTAGATTGACGTCATCTACGGATATGTTGAATCATCATCATCTGAAAGAAAGGCCACCGTTGTTAGGCAACTTGAGTTTAGCTGCGAGTGCACAAGATTTATACAGGTGGTAAGTTTTTTATGAACATATAAATGTACCCTCTCCCCTATCGCCCCGTAGTAATCCATACATACTAATAATAACCCCAGTGCCCAGTGAGTGAGTGAATTTTCCACCAATGAATTGCTTTTATGATTATATCTCCTGCATGCGACAACACCACAAACTCATAGCCATTATTCACATATGTATGTACTATATTCACATACATATTAATTTGTGATATCATTCAACTACCAATTTTGAAATTAAGTATGCTTTTGACAGCCAAAAATTGAGTTGAATTCGGTAATCTATATGTATCTGAATCTCCTCATACGCTGCCAACTCGAAAAAGTTTAGCAGAGAACTGACTTATTAACTGACCCGTTGGTGTTGAGCAATTAGCAAAATTGCAATTTAATAGTACTTTTTTATTTCTTTTAACCTTTCATAATCCTTTTTTCTTTCTTATTTTTACTAATATACTATTGTTTGACTTTTTATACCCTGCAAAGGGGATATTACGATTGACACAAAGTTTCTAACACCCAGAAGCAACGTCGGAGAGCTAAATTGATTTAGCCGTGGCCCTCTGTCTGAAATTATACGATAGTTGTTTATCTCCAAGCAGCTGCTCATCCATCGGAATCAAATGCTTGTATGAAATATATTTTATATATTTTATTTGAGAATATATCTTCACAAAATTTAACATGAATTTTTGTCCAATGCTATGTCATAGCATCCAAACATATTGTTCAGATCGCTTATAGCTATTATACAAACCGAACAATCTAAATCAAATATTTTGACAGCAAATTTTTCTATTTAAGAAGATATGTTCACAAAATTACGATTATGGATTATTGTCCAAGATAATTCCACAATCTCCAAATATATTGTTCAGATTGGACCCAGAGCATATACATAGCTGCCATACATACTGAATGATCAATATCATTTTTCTGTATGGACACTTTTTACAATAGCTTCGTTGCAGCCGAAGTTGACGTTTGTTGTTTTATTTTCCTAATGGTTGCTGCACTGAGAAACCATTATTTGTTATTTTTTCCTGTACTTCTTTTTCTATTATTCTCTCGATTATTTCGAAAATAAACCAAGCTAAAAATAGCAGCGTCACAAAACTTGTTTGCTCTGCTTTGTTTTTTCGACTATTTCTTTTATTTTCAATTGCTTAACAAAAAATCGGATTATGGAATTTCCACTCAACTCAATTGTTTGGCTCATACTCAATCATACCTACCACACACTCATTCATTCATACATTTAGAAAGGAAATCAAACTACAACTCTGCCTCTCTCCACTGTACTACTCCATTCCAGTACCCATTCGAATATATACTAAATACACCTACATTTGTAGATATTAAACAAACACAGACACATTCACCACACTCACAAGTTTACTTATTGCTTGGAAATTTATTCTGGAGTATTGTTTAGTTACGCTTTTTAGTACATTTTCTTTTTACATTGTATTGTCCTGTTGTTTTTATCGCTATCGTTCTGTTGTCGATGCAAAAAACAAAAAAACGCAAAAAAGTCCAATGCAAATATTTAACACAACAAAACAGAACGAAATTCTAAGGAACTAGGGTATATGAGGGCTTAAGTGTTCACAAATGATTTAGCAAACTTTATTGGTATATACCATACAAACATACATATGTACAAAATATACACACTTACAAGCCGCATTTTTATATACTGTTTTATGTACTTTTTTTGTGGTATTTAGTAGCCTTTGAGTTTACTTCTTGTTGATTTTTAGGTTGTTACTTCAGACCACTTTGAAAAATATGAAAACACGTTATTTTACTTTTTCCTCCTCGGTCTAAATATCATTTTCGCTAATAATTTTGAAACGAGGTTTGTAGCTCATTTCTATAATGAACAATCAATGACAGAAAAATTTGCTCCAATCTAAGTTAGCCGCATTAGAATATATTTTTGAGGAAAGCAATGAGCATCTATGCAATTACACTGCTTGTATTAGCTAAATCGACCAAACTATACCTATTTGGTCTGAATGTGCTCTCTGATATTTTGTATATCCGCGAACCAATCACTCACTTTTTGAGATACCAATTGGAAATTTTGCACATGTCTTTTTATAATCAAGAAATTGCTTATTTATTCGGAACCGCAGATATCGAATCAATATAGCATACAGCAGCTATACAAACTGAACAATCAGAATCAAGCCCTTGTATGAGAAATTTTTTTTATTTTGACGATTGATAATTATCAAAAGCAACTTTACAACATTCGAAGAAATATGTATTTCAGATCGGTCCAATATAATATACCGATCAAATTCAAGTTTTTGTGCAGAAACTTTTTCTACTTGTGAAGGATATAATAGACTCGGCGCTACCGAAGTTACCGTTTCTTTTTTAAGAGCTAAACGCGCCAAATTAACTGGCAAAGAAATGTCAAATCAATGGCTGCGCTTCTCTTCGTTCGTTACATTGCTCATACGCAGCGTAGCACCGTACCACCGCACATATTTAATGCGTACAATCAATTTATGCGCAATAAATACGTACTTAGACACACAGGCACACATATGTAAATAGATGCAAATGTTAATACCAGCAATTTATTTGTATCCTTATTGAATTTATGAGTGCAAATGTATGAGGCTTATAGTCTGATGTACAAACATGGCACCTTCGCACTTACATACATACATATGTACATACTTAACAAAATGTGTTTGCATGGATTATGCTGGCTGACAATATGGAAATGACTTCATTAAATTACTTTATCATGATTTAGGTAACTGTCGAGACTGCTAACTGGCTTGCTGCCTGCCTACAACTAATGCTCTCATTGATTGTTTGACTGGGTCTGGAGGAGGTGTACTTAGTAGATTTTATTAAGGGCTTAATTAAGATCGCTATACACACAAATATTTTCATCGATGTAATTGCATTTGCATAACGCCCCACAAACTCATACACATATACATAGATACAACATTTACTCTTGCCATATGACGAATATATGTACATATTAATTGAGCAGCCGCCCAAAGTGCACATTGTTCGCTTAATATAGTTAGCATACTTTACAATAGGTATATTTACACTGAACAGGGTATATTAAATTTGAAATTAAGTCAGGCGTGTATTACAAAAGATACGTCGGGGTGTCAATGAGGTGTATACATACATATATAAATGATCAGCGTGGAGAGCTCAGTGCTGTACAAATAAGAACTAGTCGCTCAATTTTTGAGACATCGTTCTGAAAATCGGTACACGTTATTTTCTCCCTAAAAAGCTGCTCGTTCTTCGGAACAGCCAATATCTGACCACTGTAGCATATAGCTGCCATACAAACTGGACACTCAAAATTAAGTTGTTATAAGGAACACTTGCCCTCTACACACGGTTGTGGTACCGTTTCGCGTTGCCAATCTCTTCGCTTCACAAAATTCATGCCCGAGCTAAAACCAAACTCACGCTTATGTGACTCCTACTCAAATCGTTTTCATAACTTATTCACACGATTATATATAAATCCATCTGTGTGATGTATGAATATACATATGTACTAACGCATATGATTAAACCCGTAGTAAGCTCTTACTCTTAGTGTGTGCATTATATTTTATTTACAACAACTTAATCACTACTTATTATTAAACATTCATCTGTGCGTGCGACAACAACAATAGCAATAACAATCTCACAATTCATATGTGCAATAAATACCGCATACCACAACAATAGAAGTAGAACCAGCAGAATAAGGGTTTTCAGGTTGAGCGAAGATGTGTGTTTTTGCACATATCATATGTATATATAATATATGTAAATACATATCTGCATATATAATTGTATTTTGTATTACTGCAAGGAACACAAGTATGGTTTTATCAATTTCCCTATCAATTATGTATGCGCAAAGTTGTATCCGGTTCCATTAACATATTTTTACATATTCAATTTATACACAGTCATACAAACATGCATACATACATACACATGTACTTCCATTTGTGTATTGAGATTTTAATTTGTATTTACTGTATTGGCCTCAGCATAGTTTGCTTTAATTCACTTTTGCTTAAAATACATTGTCGAATATCCTTGATGGGAGAGAAATCTTAATTGATTTAAACAGCGGCAGCCATTTCAATGAATAAGAGTATATCTAGAATATATTTATACAAAAACAATTAAGCTAATTGAATATAAATCACATGCTCAAGAAATCTCATATAAATGGCGACATTTTGTTTAAGCGAACAATTTAATTTAATTTGAGTATATTCCAAAATGAGCTAACTTAAGCGTTTAGGCCAATTTTTCTTCTTATTTACTGGCATAGACACTGCGGTTATAGCCGATTTATGAACAACGCGCCATCGTTTCTTGATTTTGTTTTTTTACACATTTTGCTTGACATTGACATAGCCCCATGAAAAAGCCTAATGCTGTTGACCAGAACTCTGTGTGTGCAGTTGCTCCACCTTGCTGAAAGCTGACGCTATTGAAGGAATACGTCTTCGGCACAGTTCTGGGAACAAAAACTCATTCAACATCTTTTAATAACGATGACCATTGACAGTTACTGTGACACCGTTTTCTTCAAAGAAGTATGACTAACAAAAAAACCTTGATGAAACTGCGGACCACACAGTGACTCGTTCTGGGGGAAGTTTTGTCTCGTAGATTATCTCTGGATTTGGTTAACTCCATATACAGCAATTTTGCTTGTTTACATTTGATTTAGATCAAAATATGTCTCATATCATCTGACACAAGCAAGCAAATTTACAAGTTATTGTCTTATTTGACCACTTCAAACATTTTTTGGCAAAATTCCAGGCGAATAGGCAAATCCAGAGGGTTTAACCGGCCTGTTATTTGCACTTTGTACTTTTTTCATCATGAATTGTACGATTGTGAGTCAAAATATTGGATTTGCCTGTTTATTCAATACGAGAATACCGATCGGAAGGGTTTTCTTGCGATACTTCCAGATTCGGC